CTGCACGGTTGACGGCTCTCGTGGTGACAACATTGTGAGCAAAACGGGAGGTGACCTTGGAGTTGATTATGGTACTGTAGACCTCGACACCATCGGTCACCTTTGGGGAGATGGGTGGGGAATCAGCCAGACGGGGACCCTGGAGAACCAGGTCTGCAACCCAGCCACCTCTCTTGCAAATTCCCTTGCAGGCTCTGAGGCTCCTGCCTGGCACACAACCCTCATCCTCCCGCAGTCTCCCATGTTGGAAGCCTTGGTGGCATCCCCAGTCTCCACGTGCTGGTGGCCACCATTAATCGGATGCTTGTCCTGCCTCCTTGGCTCTGTGCTCTGTTTGCACACCACTGCGGCCAGCGAGAGCTTGCCCTCCCGCACCCAGTCATCCTGCGCTCCAGCCACACCCGGACACTGGCCCTGAAGCACCTGCCCAGGCTCTTCCTGCTCATCCTCCACACCTCACATGCCCTCAGGCTCACAGCCCAGCCCGCCTCCCGGGTCCTTAGGTAATTGCCTAATTCTGTCTCCCAAAGAGGAACTGATTTCCTGTGCCAAGGGAAATCTCCAGACCCCCTCTTTCCAATAGGGGTGATGGACTGCGAGAGGCTCTAGGGAGGTATCCCGGCCCCTCCCGCTAGGGATATTCAGATGCTTCGTGTGTGGCAGAGCCGCTTCACAGAGGCAGGTACCAGCAAGTGCTCAGGAAGTGTCTGTGGAAGGGAGGGATGCCTGTGGGGGGCCCTCTTGGGCTACATCCTGCGAGATTGGAGGGGTCGTGGTTCTGTGGCGCTCTTTCCCAGGAGTCCTGCGCCATTGAGGGCTGCCAGGGCAGGGGACCATAAACTATTTGCTAGCTGTGAGGGGTCTGCTGTTAAGTTCCACGCCTTCAGCAGTTGGGCAACCAACTCCATCCTGCCCTACCCCACTCGGCCCCGCCCCCGGTGAAAGTTCTTACCCCTTCCGGGAGGCTTCGTTTCTGCAAAAACAAAAACAAACAGAGGAATCAGGCCAAGGCCAGCGCCAAGGTCACAGGGCTTGGGAGGCTCTGGGCTGAGACCAGGGGTTCAGTGGCACCCTGCTCCACACACACCTGAGTGCCCCCAAGCATAGGACCCTCCCAGAGCCACCTATCAGAGTAGGAAGAACTCTGAATAGAGGGAGAAACTGAGGTCCAGAGAGGGGCAGGTCTCCAGGTTACCCAGAAGTGCAGGGCAGGGGGAACTCACCCCAGGGCTCTCTTCACACCCCACGTACCCCACCTCATCCTGTCTCCCATTCTGTCTTTTCTTGGTCCCAGGACCCTTTAGGCCTCCTTCCAGAGCACCCTTGCCCCGCCACACCCAACAGGGCTCAATGCAGCGTTTTGTAGAGACCACACTCATCTGAGACTTCGACCTTCATTGCCCCTCAGTGAAGCAAGTTCATGGTGAGTTGCTCTTTTGACAGGTGGGGAAACTGAGGCCCAGAGAGTTTTAAGAGCCTTCCCAGGGGTAGAGAGCAGGTTAGCATAGGCCTCAGCTGGAGCCCAGTATTCCCAGTATCTACACTGCTCCCAGCAGCTCAGCGCTCAGCCCTCTCCCTCCTCTTCACCCCACTCAGAGGCTTGCCCAGCATGGTGCCTTTGCATTCTGCCCGTTCCACACCAAGCCTCAGATGGCAAAGAGGGGGCAGACTCACCCCAAGCAGCCGGAAGGGGCTTCTCGGAAAGCCAGAGGCCGCCAAGCCGGAGAGCAGAGCCAAGATGAGACAGGGCCACCACGCAGATGCCATCGCTGAGCACCTAGGCCTGGCTCACGCTCCTTATATGAGCAAGTCTGGTGTTTTCCAAACAGGGTCAATGACCCGCAGCGGGGGTAGGAGGAGCGGAGGCAGGAAGGGCCTCCGTGAGGCTGGGCATGGGTGGAAAGACGGGTCCCTCGATGTGTCTGTCTGAAGAGGGCCCAGTGGGTCTGGCCAACAGTGTTGGGGCTTCATTCTTGAGGGACCAGGGGACTTGGAGGAGTTCCCTGGAAAAGCAGAAGCTGTGTGCCAACAAATGGGCCCTGGGACTCCCTGGTGTGGGTGATGGGGATGGGGTGTGGAGTTGCATTTGGAGCAAAGGGCGCCTCAGCATTGTTGCCTCCTGTCCCCACCACTGGCACAGCCTCTGTCTGTCCTCCTGGATTCAGTCCCTCCCTTCTCAAGGCAGCCAGGGCATGAAACTAGAGTCACCTGCAGGCTCGGACCTCCACCAGTGGCGCCCCTCACTACCCTTCTATGTTCCCCAGGGCCCCAGGGAAAGGACACACAACGGTCCCTGCAGCCCAGCTCTCCCTGTGATCTGGCCGCAGCTTGCTTTGCTGAGCTTACTGTCTTGCACCGGCACAGCCTCCCCTTCTGCACATGTTACATCTTTCATCTTCCTGCCAGCCCCAGTGCCTCTCCCTGTGGAGCCTTCCCCGCCGACCCCTAGAGGACTATGGGACATCCCTGCTCCAAGCCCCAAGCCCTCTGAGGGCCTGCTTCGTTTACCTTATGTTGAGGTCAGTGTGCTCAGGTCTGCCTGCCCGCTCTGGGCCCAGAGCTCCTGGGGGGCTGGGCCATGTCATATTTCCCTCTGTGTTTCCAGGGCCAGCCAGGGGCTGGGCTGCCCTCAGCCTTTTGGGGAATCATTGCCCTAAAAGTCTGTAGTAAGGCTGGACTCCAGCTTCCAGAATGACAGGAGCTTTAGAGGCAGAACCTGGGCTCTCTCAGTGGGGGCTGGGACCTCCTGAGCCACACCAGGACCCCGCCAGCCTAGCCCCTTCAGGGCAGCTGTTGCATGCCCACCATACCCATGGCTTCTCTGAGCCAAGCTCACCCTGTGACCCTCCCACTGGGCAGCCCACTACTGCATGGAGTAGACAAAGATGGCTGGGTTCAGGACAGCTAATTTATGGGGTATGCAGTGGCCTCAGCTGAGAGCTCTGGTGCTGACTGGGAGATGTGCAGAGAGTTGTTTGGAGCAGCGACACCTAGAAGGCAGCAGGCAGATGCCATGGGGCAGCGGAAGCCCAGAGGGGGGTGTGGTCTAATGGTGGGAAGAGGCAGAAGCCACAGAGCAATGACAGAGAGTTGCCAAATCAGCCAGGTGCTGTGGCACTTGCCTGTAATCCCAGCACTTTGGGAGGCTGAGGCTGGAGGATCACTTGGGCCCAGAAGTTCAAGGCTGCAGTGAGCGCTGTGTTCGTGCCACTGCGCTCCAGCCCAGTTGACAGAGCAAGACCCGCATCTCAAAAAAAATAAAATAAAATTGACAAGACAGAGTTTCCAAGCCAGTGAAATGATGGCTGAGGGGCAGATGTGGCCTGTGCTTGGTGTCTGGCTGGGCAGCTGTTTCCCTCAGGCCTCCTGAACCCTTATGCCAACCTGACTGGCAGCAGGCACCAAGCTCGGGCCTGACGGAGGCCAAATCCAGCAGGTGCCGACACCTGGGTGTGTAGAGAAGACCCTCAGAGCTGCCATCTGGCCTCACTTCCTGGTTCAGGGGGTGTCTTTCGTGTCGGTCATTTTCAGTCCCGTGCCTGCTGGCCACTGGGTGGCCGGCGCTGCTGCCCAATGGCTCCTCCTCACGGACCTGCAATTCTTCTCCTGTCCTCTCTCACCTGGACCATGGCCCCATCCCCAAGTGCTTGGACTTTGGGGAGACGGACAACTCGAAATAGGGATTCTGGAGCTGCTCAAGTGGCCTCGAGGGATGGCTGGGGATTTGGAGGAATCAGTGTCATCATGCAGAGTTTAGAATTAGACAGAATCTAAGAGATCTTAGGATTCTCCTCTTTCCATTCTACAGGAGAGGAAGATCAGGCCTTGCCAAGGGTGACCCAGACAGTTGGCAGCTCACAGCTTGTCCTGGAGAATCCCAGGATACCTGGGAAGATGAGCTGGCCGGCCCACAGCCTGCTGCCAGGGGCTCTGTGTCCCCAGGCCTGGCTGGGGCAGCCTTAGAGCTAAGCATTTGTGTTATTGATCCAGGCCCTCCAAACCAGTCCTTGTTCTGACTGGTCCCTTGTAAGCCTCATTTGTAGTGAGAACTGTACAGAAACTAGCAGAGAAAAAGCAGAAACCCTTTGGAAAGCAGTGGGTAGAGACCTGTTCACATTCACACACACAGCTCTCTGAAGTGTGGTTCACCTCCTGCACCCATGATGTTGCATTTTGACTAGGTCCCAGGGCCAAGCCAAGGGAGGGGGCCCTGATGGGGGAATTCCAGGTATTCATGTGAGGAGATGGTAGGATGCCACTCCTGGCCCCCTGAAATCACAGCTTCTGGGCAGGGAACATCTCTGCCTTTGGAAAATACCAGTCTGGCTGTCAGACGTTACAAACCCTCAGCAGGGAAATGGGGCTGCAGCCTCCCGCTCCCGGCAGGACTTTGTCAGGACCCAACTCCATCTATAAATAGATCCTTCATTTGTTCAATAAAAGTGATACTTTGGAATATCCAGAACCAAATCCCAACAAGCCTTGGCCATTGTCCTCCTGACTGCCTGGAATGGAGTATTCATACGGGGGTGGTTAAGTACACAGATGCTGACATCAGACAGCACAGGTACAAAGTCCAACTCTGCCACTTAGAAGCTGAGTGATTTTGGAGAAATTACCTCACCTCAGTTTCCTTGGCTGTAAATGGGTGTGCTATAAGTGTCCCCTAGGGCTACTGGGAACATAGACTTAGTGAATTCAAATAAGGTACTTAGAACAGGGCTTGACTAGCGGAAGCACTGTGACTGTTCATGATGGCAGTGTCCACTGGCCCCTGGACCTGCCTGCAGTGCAGGGGGCACTCAGGGCACACAGAGGGCATGGGGCCAGGCAGCTGCCGAGAACAGGGTGGAGTGGGTGGGGGCAGAGTTCGTGTGAGCTTTCTTCCCACCCTCTACCTGCTTCTCCTATCCCTGTGTCTGCTGTAACCCCTAAGCCCATCTGAGGGGCAGCGTCTTGGGCTGCCTCCCTGACATCCTCCCTCCCCAAAATCAGCCAGCTTGGGGTGGACATGGTCTCTTTTTAATGGAAGTCGTGAGGTGCTTTGACACAGGACCCAGCTTCGTTAAGGAGGTGCAGCCAGGGCGGCAGGTCAGAATGTCGTCCTTCTCCTCTGCCTTGGCCCCAGGGAGGACAGGTGTGCTGGCCAGAGGGCTCAGAAGATGTCGGAGACGATATAGTCGGTGTGGGTGCCATCAATGAGTCCAGCCCCATTGTTGTGGATGAACCAGCAAGACACCTCGGCCCCATGCCGGGGATCCTTGCTATAGTCTTTCTGCAAACCCCTGTGCGGAGACAAGTCAGCTGGGGTCTCGCTTCAGACCAGCAGGGCAGCACCGCCCCAGGAAGCTCACCCCACCCATGTGACACTTGGAGGAAGACCCGGAAGAACTGCAAAGTGGCCGAGGACAGAAGTGCTGGGCGAGCAGCCCCCCAACCTGGTGACAGTGAGCCGGCGGTTCTTCACCACCATCGTGGCATCTGGCTTTGCAGGGTCGGAGCCTGGGCGGATGTCAGACACTTCAAAACCAAAGGGGTGGAAAAATTGCCCTAGAAAGGCGCGTTGGAGACAGCGGTTACCCTCCTGGGGACTCGCTCCTGCCCTGCACTCAGCAGGTGCTCACTGCGGGGTTAGGGCAACACTTTTTTCCACGGCTTGATCGTTTCTGCTAAAAATCCCAGCACAAAAAGCTACCTCTGGTTCACTTGCTGTAGAGAAGTAGATGCATTTCTAGGTGGTCCTACCTCCTGTCTTTTAAAACGGGATCTGGCTGGGGAGAGAGGTTTGTGGGGCAGGTGCACATAGAGCTCAGTGTCTGTGGAAAGGCCACACAGGAGCAGTGTGGTCGGTGGCCCACCCTACTCACAAGGTCCCTGGGAACCCTCAGGGCCTTTCTGCTCTCGGACCTCTGCCCCTCTCTTGCTCCCAGGTTCACTGAAGTGTTTGTTTCACTGTGTGTTTGATCACAGCCTCACCAAGACAGTCCCTCAGACAGCTGTGCGCCTTGGAGGCCACGCTGGAGGTGGGCCTGTCCTGGTGCCCAGCTATAGAGCTGACCCATGGCCCCAGGTCCCACATGTCCTCTGGCTTCAACCCCCTTCCCCACAGCCCTGCCAGCCTGGCCACCCTTACCCAGCAGCCCATGCGTCCGCGCCGACATCCGGTGGCTGTCCAGCACATAGAAGCCCAGGAAGTCCTGGGGGATCGAACTCCCCTTCCACACTCGGTGCAAGACAACCTCAAAGGTGGCGCCGTCTTCCACAGACACCACCAGGTTCCTCTTCTTATTGATGGTCACCACCACTCTGCAGAGCCAGGTGGCCATAAGGGCAGGTGCGGCCGCCCTGCCTCCCTCTCCATTCGGCTGCCATTGTCATCTGCCCTTGTCACCCTTATGACCACACCTGCCCAACCCTTCATCCCCAGATGGCCAGCTGTTGCCTGTTCCACACCCCTTCCCACATGCTGCTATTGTGCATGAGGTCCTTATAAGTGGCAGGCCCTGTGCTAAGCCCTCTAGGCAAATGGCATCATTCAGTTCTCACTCTGAGCCTGTGAAGTCTGAGGCTCAGAGAGGTCAAGTAACATGCCCAAGGTGGCACAGCTGATATGTAGTGGAGCCGGAACTCGGACTTAAGGCTGTTGAATGAATGAATGAGTCAAGGAAGGAAAAATCACGAGACAATGCATACTAAGACAAAGGCCAAATGGGAAGCCCAGAGAAATCTGGAGTTCAGCAGAGGAAAAAAGCAGGAGGGCTGCAGGGAAGAGGTGGCCTAATTTGCTGGGCCTGGGAGGATGAGCTGGCTTTGTTTGGTGGAGACAAGGGTGGCATTCAGGGCAAGGGTGCAGTGGGAGCACGGGCGCCACGCACCCGGGCCCAGAGCTCATGTCCAGGAACCAAGGGAAATGGAGGGCTGAGTGGTCCATGGAATCTGACATGTCTGCACAGGCCACATGGGTGTCACCCACAGACATGGCTTAGGGACAAGGGCCCTGCAGACTCAGACAACAGAGTCCTTGGCCCAGGCCATGCTTCCCCCTGCTTCTCGCCCAGGCCCCGGCAGGTTACCCGTCCTGCCGCAGCGCAGCCTGGTCCCTCCAGGAAAACACAGGCCCCCCAGAGCCGGGGTTCAGCGTGATGTTCTTCGGAGTCACTTCCAGTTGAAAGTCTGTGGCAGGGTTCTTGATTCCCAGCCGCCCGAAGTACGTGCCCTCCTGCTGCCCAGAGTTCCTGGCCTTGTTGCCAATGAGCTGCCCGTTCACCGAGAAGCCTGTAGTGGAGCAAGAGGGCATCTGGGTCGGGAAGGGGCCTGTCTGCCTTTGCTCAGGACCATGCCTCCTTCCTCAGACACCGCTGCTCCCTGTGCCACTCCGTCTTTGAGAGTCTCCTGCCTTGGGGTTCCAGGTTTGGTCCTTCACACAGTGCCACCTCCCTTGCCTCTCCACCCCTCCTGCCATGCCAGATATGCCATACTCAGCCCTCACTTCTGGGCCTGACGGAGGTCTCGCCTCCCTGAGGACAGGACCTGGCCTGCTCCTTCTCTGTGGCCCCAGCCCCTCACACAGGGACAGGCTCCCATCGTGCTGGAAATGCATTGTGGGACCTCTTCACAGAGGTCTTTGCTGACCTGGGCAGCCACAGAGCCACCCACCACCCTCACTCTGCCAACGAAGCCCATCTCACACTCTGAAATGATCATCTCAGAATGTGTTCAGCTGTTTGTCTTCCCCTTCCCTAAACTCTATGAAAGCAGGGACTATCTTGGCTCCCACTGCATTCCCAGCCCCTGGCTGGTGCACAAGCACTCGTGGTGGACTGACTGGAAGGGGAGGGAGGGAGACAGCAGGGAGCGAGACTGAGAGATGGAGAAGGAGCCGGTCCCCATCACCCAGGCACTGCTGGGAGAGAGGCGCTTTGAGGCTCTGCTCAGCCATGCTGTGGGGGGAGTATAAAATACTTCCCTATACAGACCTAGTATACAATAAAATGAAGGGCCCCTTGTTTAAAAAGCGTTAAGGGTTTCAAGGCGGCAACAAAAGAGCATTGAACCAGCCAGGTGCAGTGGCACACACCTGTCATCCCAGCACTCTGGGAGGCCAAGGTGGGCGGATCACCTGAGGTCAGGAGTTCGAGACCAGCCTGGCCAATGTGGTGAAACCTTGTCTCTACTAAAAATACAAAAATTAGTCAAGCATGGTGGCACGTGTCTGTAGTCCCAGCTACTTGGGAGGCTGAGGCAGGAGAATCGTTTGAACCTGGGAGGCAGAGATAATGCCACTGTACTCCAGCCTGGGTGACAGAACAAGACTCCAACTCAAAAAAAAAAAAGCATTAAACCTGGTAACTTAGTACAGGGTCCCTTTGTGCCTGCCCCAGTCACATGCCCGTGAAGCCAGCCCCGTGTAGGTACAGCCAGGAGAATGCAGTGGGAAGGCAGTGGGCAGAGCCCAGCCAGGCGGTTAGTGCCCAGGCAGAGGGCAGTGGAGCCCCTGGCCATAGTCCTGTTCATGGATGAATGTTGAGGGCAGAGGAGCCCTGGCCCTGTCTGACAGAGGCGTGATGCCCACCATACCTGTGTTGGGGTCCTGTACCAGGCTAAGGATCACACCAGGTTCCTCGTTGATGTTGAAGCACAGGGCGTCCTCTTTCTGGGGTACATGGATGATGAAGTGGGGGTCCGTGTCCACTGAGGGCACAGCATAGAATCCGTTAGATTGGATTTTGGCAGATGGGGCTGGTCAGGGGCCGGGGTTCAGCTAAGCAGGTCCCAGAGAGAGAGAGAGAGAGAGAGAGAGAGACAGAGACAGAGACAGAGACAGAGATGGCCAGGCAGGGTGGGTCCCAAACAGGGGTGTCCCTCGGACCCTCCCAAGGACTCACCACCGGTCACTTGGTCTGGAATGCTGGAATGAGTAGGAGAAGGCTGCAAGGCTGATAGCACGAATGCTGATGGGAGAGGAGTGGCATTCAGAAGCGGGACAGCCAGGCCTTCCCTGGAGCTGCTGATCTCTCTGATGACTCCTCCCTCATCAGCGGGGTTGGGGGGGTAGTGGGGGAGCAGGAGAGGCAGAGCTGGGGAGCTGGACTGAGACCAAGCTGCGATGGCCACTCAACACCATGTGCCCTTGATTGGCTCTCTCAGGATCTGGGGACAGAAGCTTGGCCTGGCATGTTTGGCTGGCCCCCGCTCTGTCTCCTCCTATAGGGACCTTGGTTTAGGGAAGCCAGGCTGTTCAGGGGTCTGTTCTAAGGAATCCTAGTGACAGGCAGTGAAGACAGCTGGGACAGAGGGAGAAACCCAATGGGGTGATAATCAAGGAGGGGTAGAGTTGTGAATGGCCAGGATGGCTGCCACTTACTCCTTCTGGGTCCCAGCATCTCTGTAGAAGACAAGGACATATTATAGAAGATAGCATCACCCACAGTGCCCCACACAAAAGGCATGCAGCCCTGTCCACAACAGGCCTGGGCCAGCCCTCCCCCTGGGGGTCTGAGCCCTCCCCTAGGGTCCTGCCTCCTCACAGATACACGCTCACATCAAGAGGGGCCTGGTGGAGGCTGCTGAGGGTTCAGGCTGCATCAAAGCTCACAAAGTGCAAAGGATGCGGCCAGGAGTTCACAGTGACGTGGAGAAGGGCGGCTCAGGGGACAGAAGAGCAGGAAGGAGTGGAGTCGGAGAAGAGGAGGGATGGGGAGTTTCATGCTTGGGCCCAGAGCACCTGCCACGTGCCCGGCCACCAAAGCCCAAAGCTGAAACCAACGCAATTTGAAACTCACCCATGGGCGGAGAATCTGGAAGGGAGGGCAAGAGAAAAGAATTAAAGTCCTGGGGGTTTTTGGCCCACAGCCTACCCCTCTGCAGACCCCTGAGGCCTATACCCTCTGAGGGCTTGTCGATCGTGGGCTTCAGGCCGTCCTGGTCTGTCATGCCCCTGATGCTCATGGAGGTCAGTGGGGTCACAAACTGATAAGCCAGTGACATCTTCAAGGCCTGGGATGACAGGTTGGCCCTCTCCTCTCCGTCCACCTTCATCCTGCATTCGAGACAGAAGCTGGCTCCAAGCCCCGCAGCGTGGGCGGTGGTGGACTTGCATGGCCCTCAACCTCTCACCAATTCATTCATTCATTCATCACATATGTATTAAGCCCCCACGGTATCATGTGCAGTGGCTGTGTCTTCAGGGGCCTCCAGGTTTAATGACCTCCTACAGAGATCGCTTGGAGATTTGGTGGAGTTGAGGGGCATGCTCAGAGATATGCAGAGAAGTTAACAGCTGTGAGATCCGGATCAAGAGGCCTAACCTCACCGAACCTCAGTGTGCCGAGTGCAGGCAAACATCAGTCTGCCGTGTGCTCTGGTGGGCCCGCCCCAACTGTTGACTGACTGGTTGATATTAAGTCAGTGAGCAAAACAGAAGAGGAAAGTAAATCTGACCTACTTGCCCCAGAATCACCCTTCCCCTGCTCACCTCCAAGGGGTGAGGGGAATCTGGGGCGGGCTGCCCACCTGGGGCAGCTGCAGGGAACTTACCGCTTGGCCAGCAGCTCCTGGATGGTGAGGTAGGCCCAGAGGCGCTCAACGTGGTTCTCTAGCATGTGGCCACGCTCTCGGAGCAGTTTCTTCATCTCCTCCTCATCCACCAGGCAGGTGGTCCTGAATTCTTGTCCCACCTGAGAGTTGAGGTGCAGAGAAAGGCGTTGCGCCTTGCTGAGCAGGCCCTGGCTGATGCTTGGGGCTCCGAGGGCCCATTTCATCTGGTCTCTGCACCTTCCTTCTCAGCATCATCTGCTTCCCTGAGCCTGTTCGCCTCATCCTATTCATCCATTCTTGCCAAGCACCCTCTGTGAGCCATGGGATGGGAGAACCAGGCCCTGCCTTGTGGAGTTTCTCTGGGGGAGGCCAATAAGCACCCAGCTGTTTCCACTATGACCTGCTGCAGCTTGCCACAGCACACAAACATGCCTCCTCCATCCAGCCACGTTAACCGGGGCACCACTCCCAAGGGCGTCCTGTGCACCAGCTGCTGCCTTCGGGTATTGTATGGATTATTCCATTTACTCCACACAATGCTCTAGTGCAGTATGGAACAGAAGAGGAAACTGAGGCCTAGAGAACTGGATCCACTTGCCCAAGGGTGCCCAGCTGGTCAGGGTGGAACCAGGGTCCAGCTCAACTCTCCTTACTCAAAGCTTGAGTCCTGAACCTTCCACCACACTGTAGGGCATTCTCTGTGTCCTAGAGGGCAGGGTACAGGTCTCACATGCCTGTCCCCACCACCACATAGGTGCACATACATGCATGCACTGTGCCATGCCACAAAGCCTGGCACAGAGTAGGTGTTCAGGAAATGGTTGTCAAATGAGAAGGGAGAGGTTGATCTCTGGCTCTCTTGTGCCTTGAGGTGAATGATGTGAGAAGTAACAGTTGGTCACTGGGGGCCGAGACTGCAACTGATCAAAGCCATATTGGCCCCATTCCAACCGATTCAGCCCCCAGGATGCCTGCATGGACGGATGTTCAGGCCTGGGTGTATGTGGCAGTGTGGGGGCAAGGGCACCACTCTTGGGAAAGAGAGGCCCCTGGGGGTTGGCAGGAACGGGGAACAGTGTGGGTTTGGGGCCTCTAGGGTGCCGCCTGGCCTCTCCACCCTCCACGGCCCACCATTTACCCCATGGGCCTTCACATCAGCCTTGAAGCTGCCCTGTTTGTTGTCAGCAATGCGCCCGGCCACCACAATCTCTGAGCCTTCGTAGTACTGTTTATGGCGGTGCTGGGTCAGGGCCAAGACAGCATCCTGGGGGTACTGCAATTCCACATCCACCAGCAGGGGTTTGGCTACCTGGCTGTAGAAACCCTGCAGGGATAGAGGTTGCAGCCTTAGAGCTGAGCACCCTGGGCCCCTCATGGGAAGCCTGTCCACAAAATGGAATGTTGGGATATCCTCAAGTTAGAGAAGGAATCTGAGGGTTGGAGAGGTCAAGAAGCTGGCTCAAGGTCATGCAGCTGCTTTTTTGTTTTCGAGACAGATTCTCACTGTGTCACCCAGGCTGGAGGTGCAGTGGCGCAATCTCAGTTCATTGCAACCTCCACCTCCTAGGTTCAGCCTCCCAAGTAGCTGAGATTACAGGCGCCCACCACCATGCCCGGCTAATTGCTATATTTTTAGTAGAGACAGGGCTTCACCATGTTGGCCAGGCTGGTCTCAAACTCCCGACCTCAAGTGACCCACCGCCTCAGCCTCCCAAAGTACTGGGGTTACAGGCATGAGTTACCACACCCATCCTATGCAGCTGATTTGAACTCTGCACTAGAACTTTATTTGCTCCTCTAGGCTGATGGGCCACTAAAGCTGAGTTCCCTGTGGCATGCCATCAGAGGGACATGGGATTGTGAGGGGAGACCTGCAGCTGCTGGGTGGCATCACGGTCCTCGTAGATTCTCTGGGCCCGTCCGTTGTTCTCCATGGACATGACCTCCAGAAAGTTAAAGTCCACATTGTGGCCGAAGCCCAGGTTGTAGAGCGGGAACCTGCCCCGGATGGCGCTGCGGACGTTCTTGAGGATTTGGGAACGGTCTGTCACCCCTGCAGCCACACACCTGGGCAGTAACGGGATGCTCCCCCACAAGCATGTGGGGCATGAGCGGGCTCCTGGGGCTCAACCTTCCGTCTCAGAGCATCTCCAGTCTCCATCGGGGTCCTGAGGCATCGCCTCCTCCTGGCTCTCCAGGGAGACTGCAGCAGCTACTAACAGCTCCTCACAGACCCCGCCCATCCACGTGGGTCCATCACAAGCAGGTCTGATTCTGCTGGAAATCTCCCATGGCTCCTTTGCCATGGCCTGCGCATCCCGCTGACCTTCCCACCCTTGTTTCACCCCATTCTGCACATGCCCACAGTTCCCGGGCAGGGCCTGCCAGTACACACACCCTTTTTATGACTTAAGCTGCCCCTTCTGCCTCTCTCCTCTTTCCAGACTGAGCTCAGGAGTCACCTCCTTCAGGAAGCCTTCCTGGACATCCCCCTGGGTCAGGTGTCTGTCTATGGTTCCACAGCCTCAGGCGTCCTGTTCTTTCAGGGCTCTCAGCAGTGTCTACTTCTGGATCTGCCTCCCCCAGTAGGCCCTGGGCTTTCTGAGGGCAGAGACGTGCCTTGTTCCCTTGGTATTTCAGTCCCTAGCCCTGTGCTCAGCACACAGTATGCGGTAAATAAGTAGTTCATTACACTGTAAACAGAAGCATGAAATCCTGCCCATCCTCCAGGGACTTGTACAGACCTGTGTCATTTAGAAACATCTCCAATTTCTCACCTCACAGGACAGAGGTAACCTTGGAGCTCCTGCAGACTCCGTGGTCTGAACTGTGTTTTTAGACCAGTGCTTGACTTTGCCCTGAGCCTTTCTGCCCCTGATGGCATCTCCAATGGTTGGCTTTCCAACTTCAGCTTGAATGTCTCTGGTGACAAGGAGATCACCACCTCCCAAGGCAGTCCCCAAGGTGCTTACCCTCTGTGGGATCGCCATCTGTCAACATGATGAGAATCGAGGCATGGTTGCTGAGTTCTGGGAGGCTTTCCTGAACTTTGTTCAAGATCTCAATTCCCCGGAGCAAACCTCCATTCAGGTTTGTGGCTGCAAATGACAGAAAGACCAGTGTATGCCCTCATTCTGAGGGGACAGAGGTGACATCAAGGTGGCCTGAGACCCCCCCCACCCTTACCCTCGTCCAGGGAGAAGCCCCGCACGAAGTCTCGAGCCGCTTGTAGGTTGGCCTCAGACGCTTGCACCAGCGCGCCCCTCCATGATTGCACTCGAGACCCAAAAAGGACCAGATCAAAGTAGTCCCCTGGCTGCATGTCCCCCAGAATTTGAAGGAGTGCCTCCTTGGTCTGCAAGGATAGAACAGTCAGCATAGGGACAGGGCCCCAGGGTGGCCCCAGGACAGCGCTTTCTATCAACTCCAGGTACCCGTTTCTGAGTCCATAGTGTGGACAAAGCAGGAGGAGACAGGACAGCCAGGTGGCCCCGAGTCAGAAGCGTCCTGCCCGGCCTTGGGGTGGATGAGGGGGTGGAGAAGGCAGAGGAACCCAGCATGGGGAGAAGGAACAATCAGGAGTTCAGGAGGGGCAGGGTTAAGAGAAGTATCCCAGGAGCTGTGCTTCTAGAACACTGCTTATCCAGCCGTGTATATACTGCACCATGGACAGGGCACTCCAAGCCCTGTGGGTGGAGAGCTATTCCCTGCTGTATGACGCCTCCCCATGGACCACCATCATTATCCCTGGCACTTTTTCCTCTTCTAATCATGTTCCCAGGAGGTAACTCTACGACCCTGCAGACACCATTGTCATTTCCATTTTTTTTGCTGTTGAGGAGCGGTGAATACACTTCCTCCTAGTGGTACAGTGAGGAGGTGATGCTGATTCTGGAGATGCTAAGCACTGGGATTTTCTGTTAAATCCCCCTGCCTCTGACCAGGAGCATAAATCCCAAACCAGACTCTGGTGGCGAAACTGGCATGCAGCGGGTGACGCGGCTGCGGGAGCTTCTGCTCGGGGAGCCGTTTCGAGCTGCGGCCCACCTGCTTCACTTTCTGGCCTCTCATGGAGCCGCTGATGTCAATCACAAACACTATGTTCTTGTTCATGTTTGTCAGGTTTTGGGGGGCGAAGAAGTGGGCAAAGTGGTTATTGGCCACCTGAAAGAGAGGAGAATGAGTGAGGCCGCCCTCACAGCCCCCTGGCCCGCCCTCTGGGTGCTGAGCCAGAAGCTCAGGGCTTACCAGGAGGTCGCAGATCTCCTCTCGGCTGACATCATAGGTCACCTTGAAATCCCCATTCAGTAAGGACGTAGAGCATGTGGGGCAGGACTGCTGCTGGCCCACGGTGGGGCGGAACAGCACGTGACCCTGGAACCACCGAGAGTGTGAGCCATTACTGGTTTGTGCAACCATAAACAGGGTGTTTGCAAACACAACATAAGAAGACACGTGTGAGTGTGTGAGTGTGAGAGTGAGTGTGAGTGTGTGAGTGTAAGAGTGTGTGTGTGAGTGTGTGTGAGTGTAAGAGTGTGTGTGTGTGTGTGAGTGTGTGTGTGTGCACAGGCACAGAAATGAGTTTGGTGGGCCATTCTCCTAGCTGCTGGGAGCACACACCTGTAGGTGGTGGGAGAGACAACCCATTCCCCTGCTTATTCGCTTCTGAATCATTGGGATTTTCTACAATGAACATGATCACTTTGGGTATATAAATAAGAACAAAGTGACAGCAATGTGATAGCATGGGAGACATCAGGCAAGTCAAACTGCTGAGTGAAGAAGCAACACCACAACACTGTGCTGGGAAATGAAAGCTGCCTGGGTGACAAAGAACAGAGAGAGGAAGAGAATGGAAGCTGAGGTCCGGCTGGAGTTCTTGGTATGCTTGGGGAAGCTAGTGATGGTTTTTATTCAATACTTTCTATATTTCTGGACTTTGTACATTTTCTATAAAGAACTTTTTGTTTGTAAGATAGCTCATCAAAAAGAAGCAGATGCAGAAGGAAGAAGAAGAGAAGCAGCAGCAGCGGAGGAGGAGGAAGAAAGGAAGGAAGATAAAATAGAACCTTGAAAAATTCTTAGGAAGACAAGGACCCATCCCTTTGTTCCCCCACAGAAAGCAAGCATGTTTGCTAACACTCCGAGGTGTCATATTTTGTTTAAAAGGAAACTCCTTTAAACTGTAAGAAGCACTGCTTTTAAATGAATTGTAGTACAAAGGTCTTTCCAAACTTAACTATGTTTCCCAGAAACCTGAAGCCTGGAGTCCTAATCACAGCAGTATCTGAGGTTTGCTTATGTGCTGGATATTTCCCTGAATGCTCTCTCATGGATGTGAGGCAGGTAAAGAGGGCATTGGGGCTCAGGCAAGCCAGCAACTCACCGTGGACCACACAGCCAGCATGTGGTGGAGCTGGAGCTGGCTCCTTCTCCACGTCAGCATGCAGGTGTTTGCTAAATTGCCCTAAGAACCAGGATGCAGTCGGGCGCGGTGGCTCACGCCTATAATCCCAGCACTTTGGGAGGCCGAGACGGGCAGATCATGAGGTCAGGAGTCCAAGACCAATCTGGCCAACATAGTGAAACCCCGTCTCTAGTAAAAATACAAAAAAAAATTTAGCTGGGTGTGGTGGCATGTGCCTGTAATCCCAGCTACTTAGGAAGCTGAGGCAGGAGAATCGTGTGAACCTGGGAGGTGGAGGTTGCAGTGAGCTGAGATCGAATCATTGCACTCCAGCCTGGGCGACAGTGTGAGACTCCATCTCAAAAAAAAACAAACAAAAACAAACAAACAAACAAACAAACAAATCCACTGGATTGCTGTGTTCTCCTAGGCACCAATCACATGACACCAGCCTCTCTCATCCGGAGGGCAGCCCACAGCCCCTGCCTGGTTTCTGGGCTAAGGCTGGACATTCCATAAAGGGTGGGCAGGGTGAGAAGTCACCAAAGGGTCCACCACCACTGTTTGCCATCCCGTTGTACCTTTTTCCCTGAGAAGGACTTCTTGATGGTTTGGGCCGCCAGTTCCTTGGGCAGGAAGGGGGCCTGGGCATCTAGCTTGCTGATTCCCTGGGGCTCAAAGATGTCCACATCGATCTGCATCATTGAAGCAAATTCTTTTTTAAAAAAATGGGATCTTGCTATATTGCCCAGGCTGGCCTCAAACTCCTGGGCTCAAGCCATCCTCCTGCCTCAGCCTCCCGCATAGCTAGGATTATGGGCTCACACCACATTGAAGCAAATTGTGTACCACGGCTCCCACTCACCAAGTCTCAGCCAGGAGCCAACATGTGTCCTAACTACCTGTGTGCAGTACCCACCAGCGCTGAGCACAGGGCCTCGTACTCAGTAGGCACTCCAAAAATCCTAACCGAATGAAGGTGTGCATGCCTGCATCCCTTAACTCAGCCACCACTTAGGTGCCAGCAATAATTCCAGGTCCTCAGGCTGCGCAGGACTTTCTGGTTTACAAGTTACCTGGACATTCAGTACTTCTCTTGATCCCTGTGGCGGTGCTGGGACCCATTGGAATCCCCCATTTAGCAGATGAGCAAACCGAGGCTCAGAGATAAAGAAGAAGTTAAAGAGTTCAGGAAGCTCCCTGCCCAAGAAGAGTGCATCAGAGCTCACCCTCAGGAGCTAGTCTCCATCCCTGTATTCTCAGGCCTGGGTGACACATGGTGTGTGCTCAACCAGTGTTGGGAGCCATGGTGACAGAGAGGGCAGGAGCCCTGCCCTGGGACCTGTGATCTACCTCAAAATGATGCACCAGCTGCTTGGGCTTGACTTTGATGACAATTTCATACTGCATAAGGCTTCGCTTCAGCACTTCCTCGTAGGTCAGCTGAAACGTGACCTTGCTGTGGGGGTTGACGTTGAGGTGGATGGTGAATTTCTCCATAGTTCTTCCCGAGGCCCTGGATGTGCCACCAGAGGCAACAGCAGACAGACAGAGGGTAAATGAAGTGTGGGTCCTTGTCACCTAAAGCATGGCCCTCAGGATTTATTTCTCTTAGATGAGTGCCGCTCCCAGATTTCCCTGGAGCTCACAGATGTGTCAGCTGGCTGATCAGGGTCAGGGCCCAAGGATGGGAGGATCCACTTCTCCCAGGGGCAGACCTGGGAAAAGGGCAACTGCGCAGCAGCCTGTTCAGTGCACTATGCTGGAATCGGAGTTTGGGCAGTTCGCTGTCCCTTCCATCGTCCTGGCTGTTCTCCACCAAAGCCACCAGCCCTCAGATCTGTCCTGGCTGGGGAGGGCAGCCCTAGGGATGAGACCAGCCCGGCCCAGAACTTACCTGACAAGGCCGGCATTCTCTCCTGAGATGGCTGCTTTCCGGTACTGCTTCCATGCTGTCACTTTGTCCTTTATGTCCCCGATAAATGCGTTTCCATCTGCTGTGCTGCAGGGAGGGAAGGATACCCCCAGTAAAGATGAGCCTCCTGACCACACAGGTCCTGAGAGGGCCTGTCCATGCGAACCCTTGGATAAGGGCGTCTCCTGCCCGGCCTTCCACTGCCTGAGGTGGAACTCAGGGGTCCATGGACACAGTGAGGTGAGCAGCCCAGGTCGGAGGCCAGCAAGAACCCTCAGATGCTGGCCTTGGTTCCTTGGGTTCTAGGCTGAAACATGCTATCATGGGCCCTCGTTTGTCTCCAAGATGGGAGCCAAGCACAGACCTAAAGGGCTTCTTCCTCCCCTCAGAGCCAGGGCTGGTCTGTGGCCCTTCTGGAATGAGGAGATGCTCTGCACCGTCCGGCCACTCTGAGCCTCGTTCTGAGGCTGGGACTAGTGAGCAGACACCCTGTGCGAGGGCATGAGAGTTGGGCAGGCACGCACATGGCAAAGTCACTGATGAAGGCCGTCTTGGGGATTTCCACGTCGAAAGCCACTTCCCTGGCTTCACTGGCAGTGTTGACCACCTGACTGGTGACAACATAGTGGGCGAAGCGACTGGTGACTTTGCAGTTGACTTTCAAACTCCGGATGAACACGCCATCAACAGCCTAAAGTGAGACATAAAGGAGCTGTGGCCTGGGACGGGGCCTCGGTCAGGGAGGGGCTTCCTGAGGCGCGGGGGCTTGGCACTCAGCTCCTGTGCATGGCGCCCGATGCTGGAAGAACAGGCCAGGCCTCCCAGGAAGACTCCTGCTCTCTGGCGGAGGCTGTACTACGGGGTATGAAGTGAGGTGGGAACAGGCCTCGATTTCCAGGATCCGGGAGAATCCCAGCCGCCTATGGCCCTGACAGAGGGTTCGGCCCTGAGGGCTGGGGGAAAGCAAGCTTGTCATAAGGGCTCCATCACAGGTCCCTGTGCCAGGACTCTTACTCACGGTGTCCACGGCCTGTCGCTTCTGCAAAACAAAATCAGGGTCAAGTGTAAGAGGGCAACTCAGGGACTGCCAGCCTGTCAGTTCAGGGGTAAGAGTGGAACACAGCCTGTGTCCTCTGCCCCTTACCCTCACCTCCTTGGTGCTGCTGGGAGATCAGCTCTCCACTCAGAGGTGGTGGAGGTGGTGGGGGTGGCCCCTGCCCCTGGAGTGGGGGTCTTGTGTCCCGCCCGGGCCCCATCCAGGTTCGGCTGCCTATTTCTGCCCTGTGGGCTTAGCCACATACCTCGCTGCTCTTGGACCTGCCCGTAGCCGAGGCCAGGGCGGGCATGGCCTGTAGGGCAAGGAGAGATACCAGATACACGCACAGCGGCAGGCCCCGAAGCCCCATGGCATCGATCATGTTCTAAGGCTTCTGCTGCCCTGTCACCTCACTCAGACCAGTAATCAATGCAGCGCTGGATAAACAAGGATTAAACATTAGACAAGGTGCAGGCAAATATTAATGGGAAAAACAGCAATGACTTTTGCACCAACCTAACACAATTTGAGGAATCAAAATTTGGCAGTGGAAGCTTTTTGCCTGGGGGGTTCCCAGCTCTGGGTGGCGTCAACTCCTGATGAGGCTCCAGACCCTGCCCTTCTGTGTAGGGCTGCACTGAGCCTGGGTGAACTGGGAGAGCCACGGATGGCTCATCTCATCCTAGGGCTGGCACAGGGCAGCACCAGTGACACAGTGACATGTGGCAAGAAGCAACAGTTTAAAATGGATTTCTAAACTTCACTAGGCGTTCCTTTTTTTTTTTTTTTTTTGAGACAACCTTGCTGTGTCGCCGGGTGCCAGGCTGGAGTGCAGTGGTAAGATCTCGGCTCACTGCAAACTCCACCTCCCGGGTTCAAGCAATTCTCCTGCCTCAGCCTCCTGAGTAGCTGGTATTACAGGCACCCACCACCACGCCCAGCTAATTTTTGTATTTTAGTAGAGACAGTGTTTCACTACATTGGCCAGGATGGTCTCGATCTTTTGACCTTGTGTTCCGCCTGCCTAGGCCTCCCAAAGTGCTGGGATTGCAGGCGTGAGCCACCAGGCCCGGCAGGCTTTTGTTTTTTTGAGACGGAGTTTTGGTCTTGTTGCCCAAGGTAGAGTGCAATGGCATGATCTTGGCTCACTGCAACCTCCACCTCCCAGGTTCAGGCAGTGCTCTTGCCTCAGCCTCCCAAGTAGCTGAGATTATAGGCACCCGCCACCACGCCTGACTAATTTTTGTATTTTTAGTAGAGATGGGATTTCACCATATTGGCCAGGCTGGTCTCAAACTCCTGACCTCAGGTGATCTGCCTGCCTCTGTCTCTCAAAGTTCTGGGATTATAAGTGTGACCCACAGTGCCCGGCCAGGCTTTAATTTCAAAATTCTTTTTTTTTCAAAGACAGGGTTTTCTTCGATCGCCCAGGCTGGCGTGCAATGATGCAATCTTGGCTCACTGCAGCCTCGACCTCCCGAGCTCAACTTATCTTCCCACCTCAGCCCTCTGAGTAGCTGGAACCACAGGAATGTGGCACCACACCCAGATGATTATTTTTATTTTTTGTAGAAACAGGGTTTCAGTCGGGCGAGGTGGTTCACACCTGTAATCTCAGCACTTTGGCAGGCTAAGGGGGTAGATAACTTGAGGCCAGGAGTTCCAGACCAGCCTGGGCAACATGGTGAAGCCCTGTTTCTATCAAAAATATGAAAATTAGCTGGGCATGGTGGCACGTGTCTGTGGTCCCAGCTACTTAGGAGGCTGAGGCAGGAGAATGGTTTGAGCCGGGGAAGTGAAGGTTGCAGTGAGATGAGACTGTGCCATTGCACTCCAGCCTGGGGACAGAGTGAGACTGTCAAAAAAAAAAAGCGAGGAAGAAAGAAAGGCAAGGAAGGAAGGAAAGAAAGGAAGACAGGGAGAGAAGAAAGAAAGAAAGAGAAAGAGAGAGAGAAAGAAAGGAAAGAGAGAGAGAAGAGAGAAACAAAGAAAGAAAGAAAACAAACACAGGGTCTCACTGTGTTGTCCAGACTGTTTCCAAATTCTTTAAACATCAACAAACTTTTCAGTCATGCTTTGCCAGGGAGGCAGACACGGTGGCTTAGAAAGTGTGGGATGTCTAACCATGCTGGTGACTCTCACAGTGCTAACCTGGTATTAGCTCTGTCAGGGGCAGTCTGGACGGTTGGGGTGAGGCATAATGGGTGACCCATACTTTAGGTCAGTCGCTTCACCTCTCTGGAGGTTCTTACCCAGATCTAGAAAGAGCAGAAGTGAGCTTCCTCGTTCTTGCACCTGGGCAGGGATGCCTGGCAGATAAAGGGGAGCTGAAGATGAATGACATGTTTTTATAATTGAGGACTCATTTGTGTCATGCATTCTTCTAAACCCTTTATTGTCTAATTTTTATCCTTACAACATTCCTGGAAAACATTCTAATTTTTGTCCTTGCCCCAAACCAAGTGACAGAACAGGGATTCAAACCAGGTCTCTCAGGCTCCAAAGCCCAAGCCTATCATGCAATGACAGAGAAGCAGGCTTGCAGATCCTAGAGACAGCAGTTCCCAGAGACCCATCTTGCACCTGCAGTTTCTTAATTTTTATGCCCCAACCCACCCTGTTCCCCACAAGCCAGAGCATACAGGGCAGACAGGGCCCTGGCCAGTCCAGTCTGTGACTCGGGTGGGATGTACTGGCTGCTGTGGCCCTGAAAAGAGGGGGGCCAGGAGCCTCGCTGATCTCTGTTTGCTTGTCTTGGACTTTGTCTCACAGAGCCGCTTCTGGGAAGGGTTTATTGTCCTTAGGCCAGGGTCACCTTCTGGCCTGTTTTCTGGCCTTTGTGGAAGAGGTGTGGGATCAACATGACACTGTACATTTGAAGTTCTGCTTATTTCCTGCGCCAGTATTGACTGAGCCCTGCAGTGCGTTGGGCACAATGCCAGGCACTGAGACTCGCCACCATGTAGAAACTTGGTGCCTGCTGTGTTCAATGAGCTGTTGGGCATAATGCCAGGCATTGGGACTCGCCACCATGCAGAAACTTGGTGCCCTGCTGTGTTAAATGAGCTGTTGGGCACAATGCCAGGCATTGGGACTCACCGCCATGCAGAAACTTGGTGCCTGCTGTGTTCAATGAGCTGATGTCAGGGGAAAAGGGAATCAGACAAGTCAAAGGGAGCCCACTGAATCCCAAGGAGTGGTGAGAAGCTGGAGAGGTAGAAATTTGGAGGGGCAGAGCTCATCTCCCACAGGGATTAGGAGAAGGTTCCTGGGGGAGGTGCCTGGAAAGAAGAGCAGTGCTTGGCAAGGGGAAAGTGTGAAGGGAGGAGAGAAAAGCAGATGGGCAAGTGGGGTGTGTGCTTGGGGAAGGTGGAGGTGTCTGGGTGATGGGAGCAGGAACTGATGAAGGGTGAAGGTGGCTGGGAAAGGGTTTGGGACCAGCTGGCACAGGGGTCTGAAAGTGATTAGCCTTTTGGGTGGGAGATACTAAAGATCTTTTGAGCAAGGGTGTGATGAGTTCAAGGCTGGGCTGTTGAGAGGTGGCTAGCAGCAGGCCCGGTCCATGTGAGGTGCTAGAAGCATGTTTGCACAGGGGGAGGGTGGATAGGAGATGGGGAGAGTTAACTATGACCGGTGACTATCATGCTTCTCAGCAACGTTTGTGTCTGAATTTATTTACTGCTCACAACTCCCCCCAAGAAACAGATATTATTAATATTATCCTCATGGTACAGAGGCAGAGAAGAAATTGGCCCACCCTATGCATGTGGGAGGTAGGGGCCAGGGTGGACAGAAAGCAGGTATGGTTGCTGAGGATGGAGAATGGGAGGGTAGCTGTGCTGCTGGTGCTGGCGGGACAGCACATGGACCCAGACCTGCTCTGAGCTCCACCCGCATACAGCCAACTGTCTGCTTGAGTGCCCATCTGGTATGTCCAAACTGAACTCCTGACCTTTGTCTTCTCCTCCCCACACTTCGCTAGTAAGCCAGGTCTTCCCCGTTGTCCACTCCAGTGAAGGCCACCACCATCCATCCAGCCATCTGAGCCAGAAGGCTGGGTGGCATCCTGGGTTCCTCACTCTCCTTGATCACCTACCCCATCTTCTACCCTCTGTATATCCCTCCAATCCATTCACTTCTCTCCCTATTTCCAGTCACCACCTAGTTCAAGCCGCCCTCGCCCCTCACTTAGATGGCTGATCCCCTCCTTCCGCTCTGCTCCAGGCAGCAGCCAGAGTCGCCATTTAGAAAGGATAGTCTACTGCAGGCCTTTCCCTGTCTCACACACCCTGTCCTGAGTGGTATGACCCCTACTGACCCCTCTATGTCACCTAGCCCATGGCCTCTCTGAGTCTCTCAGCTTCAACTGCAGAGACTTCTAGATCCAGGTAAGCAGGTGCTTTTCCACTCATTCATTCAGCAACCCCCAGTTCCTTCATTTACACCTGCTGGCTTAGGGTGTTGAAGCAGACAGGCTTGGCCCAGTCTTCGGGAGTTTACACTGAGGTGTGTAGGTAAAGGCCCAAAATGAGTCCATTGGGTCTTAACACATGTTGCTCCTCTGCCTAAAAAAGTTTTTCTTTAAACTTCCACTGATGTGGTACTTGCTTGGGGCAACCTCCCTTGGTTGGCCAGGCTGGGCCTGGCGGCTTTTCTGCACAGTACTGACCTCCATTGGCAAGGGTAACTTGTTACTATGCTTTGTTGACTAATGGCCATCTCCCCCTTCGACTGTAAGCCCCACAGGGGCAGGCCCTTGTCTATCTTGCTCACAGTTGTCCTCCAGGGCCAGGCTAGTAGACCCTTGCTAAATGTCTGTAGAAGGAATTATTTATTTATTTATTTATTTATTTATTTATTAAAAAGGAGTCTCACTCTGTCGCCCAGGCTGGCGTGTAGTGGCACGATCTCGGCTCAATGCAATCTCCACTTCCCGGGTTCACACGATTCTCATGCCTCAGCCTCCTGAGTAGCTGGGATTACAAGAGCAGTGTGCCACAGTTTTTTGTGGCATAATACACAAAATGTAAAACATTTTAGTTAACCATTTTTAAGAATACAGTTCAGTGGCGTAAGTACATTCATGTTGTGCAGCCATCACCACTATGCATCTCCAGGACTTTTTCATTGTCCCCAATTAAAACTCTGCACCCATTAAATGCCAACCTCCAACTCCCTCCCCAGCCACTGGCAGCCATCATTCTACTTTCTGAATCTACGATTTTGACTACTACATGTACCTTACATAAGTGAAATCATACTTTCGTCCTTTTGTGACTGCCTTATTTTGTTTAGCATAATATATTCAAGGGTCATCCATGATGTAGCTTGTACTCTAAAAAGTTTACAACTGGCCAGGGGCAGTGGCTCACGCCTGTAATCCCAGCACTTTGGGAGGCTGAAGCGGGAGGATC